CGAGGAGTTGAATTCTAAACTACGTTATCCGCGCGTATGACACCGCTACGTGTTTTCGAATGCCGACATTTTCCAGATCCGTCTTACACGTTACGGCGCGCTGGCTGGATCCACCCTTTTCGCGGTAGAAAGGTGAGGCACGAAGTTCTCCGTCCCACACGTGCCTAGACTAGAAAATGCGTTCGATTCGATTTTGGCCCGAGTTAACCCTTTAAAAACCAGTACACACAATTATGTATATTCACTTTGAGTCCTCCTCAAATTTTGCACACTAGCAAATTCACGATTTCGTCGACATAATATTTGTAATCGGTGACAAACATTGATCAATCTTAGAGTTATATTCTTCCCTCCAATCCGCAAAACAGAAATATTTTCTCGTTGAAGAAACCAATATAACGATCAAAACAAAATCGGCGATACTCGAAATTGTGTAGTTTCTCACGAAAAAAAGTAAAGCAAATTTTATTTTTTCAATCTTTTATCAATGTTATCTTAAAGCTCAGCACTTTTGTCAAACATGATCAAGATGTTTAATTTTAATTGTAAAAGATTTGTTATCACTGAAAAGGGTCTGTGAAGTTAGACCAAAACGCATATGATATTATATTGCTTCCATTTGATAATAAAATATCCACTCAAAAGTGAGAGGTATTTCACTAATTCTTATTAATTTATATAGCACTATAATAATAACTATGCATAAACTCTTATTGGCCTTTGTTAATTCACTAATGATCAAGATATTCTTACAAAATATTTTAGGGAATACTTTTACAAGATATTTTAAGGAAGTTTGTGACAAGAATCAAGATATTTTCCGAACAAGAATGTTCCTTTTTTCTGTGTAAATTCTGTAGCTAAAGTGTATATGTGCAGACATGAATACGTATTTATGTACACTCGGATAATCATACTTCTCGACGGTCAATTTCATTCAGGCCACGAAATTCTTCATCAAACGCGTCTCTCCCGAGACTATCTTATGAAGAACAATATTTTACCCGAATGCGGGGTCGATGCCTGCGTCTTAGAGGGTCAACGCGATGCGGAATTCGCGTCGTCAATCGATTCACTCCGCGATTGCCGGCGGATGAAAAGCGCGCTGCAGGAAGCTCGCCCGTGTCGACGAGGGACAACATCTCGGTGGGCAGAGGCAGGCTTGCGGTTACGTCTGTGCCCGCGACCTTGTAATTTTGCGACGAAAGTAGAGAGAGAGAGAGAAAGAGAGAGAGCTTTCTTGTGGTCGGATCGATAATCGCCGACGGGCGAGAAAGCGTATCGCGGGGAGGCCGACCCCGGGGAAAGGGAGCGCCGCCGTGTGATTTACACGAAGGGTCGGCCTGCCGCTTCGCTTTAGTATCGTAAACGTGATATGTAGACTCTTTGTTCTTAACGCGAGAGAGCAAAAACACTGAGTGAGTGCGTCTGTATTCTCCGCAGAGCACGCGTCCCGAGGAGGGTGGAATCAACCCGTTCCTGTCGCCGCCGCGCGCCGCGGAATTCTTCCCCAAATAATTGTATACCCATCTGAAGAAACCGTGAATCTCTCAGCCGGCTGTAAATTTAATCAACGACCGCAAACGTGACACTTCTCGAATGCATCGAAATTTGGATTCTCCTGTGGATCTCAATATTTCATCTCATTTTGCCTATTTTGATTCTATCTGAAGCCTCTAGTCATCCAATTTTGATTCTACTTAACCTACTAACCTCCAATTTTGATTCTACTTAACTTACTAACTTCACTGAGAGATCCTCTTTAGGATCCAAAAGTGGCATTTTGTGTATTGTGCTATTTAGAGGCGTTAAGTGAAACTTCAATTGTCCCACATGTGTTAAATATACGAGTACATTGATGTTTCAATATACAAATGTTTGAAAGTTTAGATCAAAAATAGAGTTAGATCAAAAATAGATTTCGATTGAAGTAATCATATTCTGATCTCGTGCGAGGGGTTTAAAGAGACGCTAAAGTTGATAACGAACTGTAAAAATATCGATGATGTAGGTCTGCATTAATAAACGTTATTTTTAATATTTGCCTCAGGTGAGATATTCAGATTTTAATTTAAAGTTAGAAGTGAATTTTTCAATTAAATTTTCAAATATATGATGTAGTTTAAAGTTAGAAGTGAATTTTTCAGTTAAATTTTCAAATATATGATGTCACATATACAATTCAAATAATATATATTGTTTCTGAGGTCTGTATTAATAGCCGATACTTGAAATTTGTCTCAAATGAGATACTCAAATTTTTATTCAGCGTCAGATCCAAGTTCTTCAGTTGAATTATGATAAATGTGACATTTATATCTGTAGTCGCGATTGAACTAAAAAACTCTGATCTAACTTTAAATCTCACGTGTATCTCACGTAAATTATTAGAGTATCTCACGTGAGATGAAATTTTAAGTAATGGCTATTGATACGGGTCTAAACTAAGTATCTCATCTGAGGCAAGTTTCAAGTAACGGCTATTAATACGGGCCATAGAGACGATCGTCACTAATACATATAGATGCATATAGATCTTACGTAAACGTGTGTTGCTTTGCTTCACTATATTTAGCGGAAAACCTAACTATACACACAACACGCACATATACAGAAATCTTTCTACATACTTTTCCGATATTTTTAAGCTTCCAAATAAAGACCTAAAAGTACAGCAATATTATCGGAAATTTTCGCAAACTCGCGTTCAGTATGTACAGGCTGCAGATCTTTTGTATCAGGCAAATATTTGCTTTAACTGGCAGCGTCTGACGGGTTAGTTTACACTCGAAAGGTCAACTTTAAAATTTTTTTTATCGTTTTTGTCACATATCGAGCGATGCTCCGAATCATTCTCGCACATATGTTTATCGTGTGAGAGCGTTCGTAATTCTGTGTAGTCAATACGACATAAAGTCTGCGAAAAAAAGTCAGTATTCCGTCGGTTTCGACTCCAGCACCCCGGCTCGAGAGAGAGAGAGAGAGAGAGAGAGAGAGAGAGAGAGAGAGAGAAAGAAAGCCCGATTACGTTCCCGGCGAGCTACTATGACGGACCTACCGCCAGCTACTTCACAAATCTGTAAAGAGTTAAAAGTAACGAACCGCGAAGCTATAAAGTACGAACTCATGTTTCTCCTGAATCGCGCGCGCCATGATCCATTTTTATGGGATTCCACCGGCGCGGCGGGGAAAATGTTCGGCCGGAAATTGGAGCGTTGCGGATAAATCACAACTTACGCCACAAATAATTTGCCTGCTACGCTATATTTCCTGTCCCATATTCCCGCGGAAAGTAAGATCGGGCCCGACGGCGGCGCGCATCGATTCACCGGAAGTTCTCGCCCCGGGCAACTTTGACGCTTATCATTATTACTTGAATCGACTAACTCCGAACGTTCAACTTTCATGCGAGCTGCCGGGCTTCAAACGGCCGTTGTTCATTAAATAAATAACGAATACACGTGAGCGAGCGATCGAGCGAGCACGTCCGCGACACGTTTATGTAAACGCTATATTGTCTGGACTTAATTAAAATTTACAAGAACGGGATAACGCCATTCGAAATTAATTTTGCGGACAAGCTGAACCGATATTCCTTCGTCTGTTAATATGCGCATCAATTTTCCACTCGTGTTAATAATTTTATATGAATTTCCATCACGATTGAATAATAGATTTTTAATCACGCGGAAAACAACTCGTCACGTCAAAGCTGCAAGCAAAACGAGCGCGCGTATTGCATCTACATGTAAGATAGAATAAGATGTCTGTATGTTCCCTATGAACCCCTAAACCCTTTGTTCGATCTAAATCAGGTTTTGCATAGTTATTCTCTAGGAGGATATATTTCTGCGGAAAATATAAGCTATCATGAAGTCCGGGCACGCCTCGCCTCCTCCCCCTGATTTCATCCTCTTGACACTTTCGTAATAATTTGAGTTTAGGTATTTTAGATACAAGAAGCTCGCGGTAGTTTAAGGTAGTTATTTCGCGACAATATTGCTAGGAAGTTGTGTTAAGTAGTAATTAATACAACACGAAGAAGCAATTACAAATCTGTGCAAAATGTCTATAAGTATGATTTATGATACACAGCTTTGACACTACAGTTTTCATACTACAGCAAGAGAATATCAATCAGACTTACATAATGTTTAAATAAATAATTGTTTTTCACGTCTTGACATATTAGTACTTTTGGCAGAGACTCCACACATGTGTTAAACATTGTTAACATACTTCCCCACGTATGGATAGACTGATACGCGTTACTAGAAAAACAATTGTGACGTTGATTTTTTTTCATATTTTACCTTTTTTTCGCACTTTTATATAGTGTTTAGATCTTTGAGACTTTATATATTGTATAGATCTTCAAAATTTTTTAATCATTCGATTTTTACGATCTTGTAATCTTTTTATAATATTTCCACAAGTTTCTTTTATTTTTTTCTTATTTTTCGTTAAAACTGTCAATGTGGTTGCCAAAATTGAAAACCAAATTTGATACTAGAAAGAATTGATACCAGAAACCGTTTTCGTACTTGTGACGTATGCAAACACTGTCACCTTCGACTTCAACTATCTCAGCTTCGGCATGGTGAATCTTTTTCTAATTGCACACACGTATCGACCGTGTTTCGACCAATGCACTGCTAAAATGTAAAAAAATTGGTTCATGAAACAACCATCTTAAACCAGTATTCAATAAAAGTCACGCATCGGGAGAGGAGCAGCCGCGCGAAAATACGTATCGCTCGTGTACATTACCGGCGTATGTGCTATTACGTAAATGCTACGAACGTGTCGCGCAATATTGTGGGCGCTCGCGCTCGCGAGAGAGCGCTCTGCATTTCTATTGAAGAACGCATAACCATCCCGACCCGTCAAACACGACGAGAGAGGGCGAGGTGGATTCCCGAGCGCGGCCGCGATATTTTCGCCACCATTTGCGGCGGAGAAGCATGGCGTAAAGTACGGCGTACGTACGAGCGACTCACCTTGCCACGTTTCGTGTACTTGAGGTACTGGTAGTGATGATTGTCGTAGTTGAAGTCGCGCGGGGTGAGAGTGATGTCGTGGCTACGACCCCCCATCTTGCCCATCAGCGTCTTCTTCCTCTGCATCTGCATCTTCTTCGTGTAGGTGCGCAGATCGGCGACTGCAAGTGAGATTTCGTCCGATTAATACACTCTTACGGGCCGAGCCCGCCGCACGGCGGCATACACTGATTGCAGTCGCGGCGGAATTACATTTCGCTCGGCGTCGAAAATACTTGGTTCGTTAGCCCGAATCAACTCGAGCGTGACTGCCGGCAAATTGCACGTCAGAAATCGAAAAGCCGACTGCACATTTCAACGGGCGAGCCACTTTGCCCCGTCCGTCTCCGTCCATTCCCGCCGTCGTCGAGTGTGATTTTTCCGCGGGGCGCGGAAGTCCCTCCGGCTTCTCCCGTTCTCGAATGCGACACGACGAGCCGGGGAGACTCCCGCATTAAGACGTCGATGATTCTCCAGCAGGAAAAACAGGAAAATTCTCGCTCCGGGGGCCCCGGCCTTTCAAGGGTCCGAATTAAAAAGCGGAACAAAGTGCCGAAAAAAAATATGAAGAAGAAAAAAGCAGAGCTAGTGGTTGGAAAAAATAAGAACGACGCGCGAAGTGTCATTTTCGCCTCGGAACATTCCCAGGTAGAAATCGAGGATCCAGAAGAGCCTGGGCAGTTTTTCCTACTTTTATCAAAACCTTATAAAGATAAATCCATTTGGGCCCTACACAGAGATGTAACAATCTTACAAATTAACTAATCTAGACTTGTAAATCCGACTAGGCCTTACTTTGATATACTTATTTAAGGTATATAATATATTAAATCACTTCTTAAAGCATTTATTACAATATTTTTACGTTTTATATATAATAACATCATTAATATAAAAAATCCTTTTTTCCTTTTCCTCTAGTTATCCATTTCTTATTCAAAAAATTTTGTGATACTGAAATCAATACTTTGTTATTTAAAAATGTAGTAACACTCATCAAAATACTTGTCTTATAATTATTAATCATTAACTATTAGTGAGTAATCGTTTCATCACTAAAAACCACTTGGCCAATTTTTTATCAATTGGTTAATTTGTCCTTGACCGAGCCTTATTAACACAAGTCTCGTTTGTGACATCCATATTAGTATCAATTCATAATTTATTTGCAAAACCCCTCAGGATTTGCCTATTTTGGTTATATCTGGATCGTACTAAGACATGTCTATTTTGGGACATCCCTAGTTAAGCTCGCTACACCGACAGAAAAAATATCTGAGAAATAGTAGATATTGATTTGGTGGATATTAATAATATATAGTTACCTCTACTAATAAAAAATATTTTTCAACAGTGAGAAAATTTTCTTGAAACTTTAAGAAAACCTTAGTTTTTCACGAAAGCAATTATTTATTCTATTTAAATGAAAGAATTTAGATTTATAGGTGAATACGCTGTCAGTACGCGCCAAATAAATATTTACTGATTTTTAGATTATATTTTTTCTCTCAATATGCATACTAAAAGCCCGCCCCGATTAATTCCTACCCGGGAATTGGTTTTCACCTGCTCTTATATACGATTTCGTTTTTGCATTTCGAGTCATTCAGTTTGTTTCCCGGGTTGTCCCGAGTGGGACAAACCGACAGACAAACCGCTCGGCAAATTACAAATATCGCGTATTCGAAGGATATTCAATTCGGCATGAAAACTCGGCGATTGTCCGCCAACTGCAACACAATTACGTCGTACAATGCCACATCGTTTTACGGCGAATTTTCTGGCCTCCAATGAATTGTCCGACCGCAAACGCGATAGGCCTAACACGCACATACATATACACATACACACACATAGAAAGAGAGAGAGAGAGAGAAAGAGAGAGAGTCTGTCTCGATAATTGCATTGATATTCGGCGCGTACGTTCCGAACTGTTCAATCGTGAAAACGCGATAATTTTTTTTTATTGTCCCGCATTAAGATTTAAAAGGCGAGCGAACGGGCGCTGTGACGTGCACGATGTTACAAAATGCCCGATAAAAATTCCGTGTTCCGCCTTCCGAATAGAATATACGAGTCAATGGCCACTCATCAGGCACGGTCAAACAGGCCGCTCCAAAATTAACGCTCGCATTCGACGAAGGATGTTATGATTTTTCGACAAAACACGCGCGACCGCATCGACGCGACGCTATAAAATTCAATCACCGCTTACACAACGGCAAGCCGGTTAGTTTCGCGTGTTTTCAGCCGCATCCGTTGATATTCATTAGCGTTAAGTGAAATCCGTTCCAAGTATTTTCCCCTTTATTTGTACGTTAGCGCAACGAGCTCAAACACGCTTTAGTCGCCGGACCTTCCGCGAAATAAATTTTTCACGAAACAGGCGCTCCTGCCCGGCCAATGCATCATACTTAAAAAAAATATATGCGCGACGAATCCCAGAAACCCAGTGAGATTTTTCTCCAGGAAAAATGCACTTTTTCGCGGAGCTGTCGTCCTGGCAATTGACAGCTTGAGAAGCGCTCAAAATGGCGTATACGGTACGCTGAGAGAAAAAATATTTCTGAAATAGAAGGTATTTATTTGGTGGATACTGAGAACATATATATATTTACTTTCATACTGAAATAAAATATTTCTTGAATATGCGCAAAAATATTTCTTAAATATGCACTAAGAGAAAAATATTTGAACATTTATTTGTGAGATAAAAGTGTATCTTGTAGAAGTAAACTTTATTTTGCAGAAATAAATATTATTTCATAGAAATAAATTTTATATCTTACAAATAAATTTTCAAGTATTTTTCTCGCAGTGTACATTTTCATAAAATTGGCTTTTATCATGAAAGCAATCGTTTATTCTATTTAAATAAAAGAATTTAGACCTAAGTAAATATTCAGTTATTAGTATCCTCTTCATAAATAAATATTTTATGTAGTGTATGACCCGTGAGATAATTGTATCCAAGTTATAGTGAAAGAGAAAAAGAAACAACTATCAAGCACAATAGTTATCTGATGCTTTGATAAAACGGTTTCAACTAAAAACGTGTAGCTGAATATAATTAAATAATTTAGTAAGTATTAATTTAGTGTTAATTTAGTAAGTATTAACAAATAACTTTAGCAAGGCTTGGTATCTAAAACTTGGTGACTATTACCAATTTATGTGATATTCTCTAAATTTCCTGGAGTGAGATTTCTCACTCAGAACAAGTGAAAAATGGCAATATTTTTACTCGAAGCGATTGCAAAATGGCAAGAATGAGACTTTCGCTCAAATTCAGAATAAATTCTGACTTCATATGAGAAACTATCTCGATCGATTGAAGTGAATATGTTACTGTGACGGTGGAACACCTAAGATTCATTCTTTAATTTCGAGCGAAAATATTCACTCGACGATTCAGAATGGAGAGCTCACCCTAAGTGAAAAATCACTCAAATTCGAGTGACTCATTTTATTTTTTGACAGTCTGACAGTAATGTTATTACGTATTACATGATAAATTTATGATATGCTGTATTATATGATAAATATACGAAATGATCAAATAATTGATACACTAAGAAAACTATTCGAGAATTTATTTGTGGAAAATAAAATTTATTTCTGTAGAATATAAAGTTTATTTGTGTGAAACAAAATTTATTTCTGTGAATAAACTGTATATCCCGCGAACAAATTTTTATGTATTACTTTCTCCGTGCAATAATCGAACTACTTAGTAATTATTACAAAATTATTTAATATTATTCAGCAAACCACTTAATTGATTGAACTAAACGGAGAATTTGTTCTATTAATTATTTTGTAATTATTACCAGCCAATTGTGTAGTAACTACTACCGTATATCAATTACTAAATATACCACTGAAACGTTCAGCTGCACATGTTAATTATTACGAGACTTTCTTTTTGTGTAGCCTTTACAAGTGCCGTCCGTAAATATTTTGCCCGTGTTCCCATTTTTTAAATCCGCAACCATCAATATTACACGGCCAGCCAAATAAGCTTAATGTAAATTTTCAATGAAAGGAGCCTCCCGTGCTGTGGGGTGATACCGAAATCCTCCCATTTCCCAGTGGTTTTTTACGCCGACCCGTGTATCCAAAATACAACGCGCGCTCTCCACTCGCGCGTACACGCAACCGCAAATAACGACCCGTCGATTCGCGAATTTAATCTTCCCGACCTTGCTTATTCTTCCGTCAACGGTGATTCACGATTTCGCTCGACGTTTGCCGAGGTGCAACGCGTTGTGTGCCCAACAGCAGCATTATTGTTCTAACCGCCAATTATGAATATTCATGGAGGGTCCGCGTGTCGTCGGGGCAGAGAGCGCGATGCAAACGCGCGCCATTGTGAAGCCCCCAACGTATATGTGCGCTAGCGCGAATATGCTTACAAATTGATCTCACGCGTGGAAGTCGCGGATTCGTTTCGCAAGTCGTCGTTGTTCGCCCCCTCCCTCTTTCTCCTCTTTTCCCTTCCATTCTATCTGCTCCTTCGTCTTACCGTCGTCGCGATCGCCGATTCAGCTGGATTCTCCATGCGTCGTAAAAATCGTCGCGACGATAAAATCTCTCTGTAATTCCGCTCTGTAATTCGTTTCCACCGTCATCCCCGAGATTTCATTCGGTCGTTTTAATCCGTTATCCGCGTGCTACCACCTTCCCGCGTCCCGGACGCGGGAGAGAAGATCACGTTCGAATATTAACTTCTTCCGCCGGCAAAACGGTACACGCGGCCCGACTCCTCCGCGTTATTTCGCGGCATAAACGTATCGCGGCTGCTATTTCGTTAGGTATGCAATGGCGTTCGAGTTGCTTACGTTCACGGTCGTCGGTATGGTATTGTCGATTCGGCACAATGGCCACATTTGTGATCCTGTGAATTATCAATGCCGAATCGCCGATCCATTTCGGATATCAGCGCCATACAAGTCTATCCACGACTTTACGAGACAACTCCTTAAGAAGAGGTCCTAGAGATTCGCCGCGGGACGAGAAATGAAAGTTTCACGATGACAAATATAGAAGTGTGAAAATTATTAGAATAATTCGGATTTTTCTATTCAAATTTTCCCTAATTGTTCTTTCCAATAAATGCCTAATTTCGGGAGATATTAAAATTAGAGAAAATTAATAAAGAAATCAAAATTATTCTAATTTTCACAACTCTGTATAGAGCTTTACTGCGCGCACATTCGCCTGCCTTCTTTACTTCTAACATTACAACAGGCACCATACGGGAATTTTTCGGTGCAATAAATTTCTTTTCACAAGAGACCTCTTCACATTTTGATGTATTTTTGCGGAAAGGGCGATTGATGATCGCGTCGGTGTCTCACGATCAAAAGATATTAATCCCATCGGGAGTTTTTCATGCACAAAAGTGCAAACAATCGAACGACCGTTTAATTGACTCGTTTGAGGGACGCTCTTTCCCAGCAACATTTATAATTAGCGCACATCGCGCGTCAGTCGCGCGCGACTTATCGAAACTGCTCGAAGCTCGCGCGGGAGTTCTCCATTAAGCCCGGTCCGAGATTAAACCAATTTCCCCCGATTTAAGCTAGCGAGTTGCACGAGAGTATCTCTCTCTCTTTCTCTCTCTCTCTCCCCCCCCCCACTTCTTTGTCTCTCTCTCTCACCGACACACTCTCACCCTCTCTGTCTCTCGTTCTCTCTCACCTTTGCAGGGGCAAAAACCTTTGCAGGCGATGTGGACGGAAGTGTGGTGAATGCAGTTGTGGTATTCGAGACGGCACGGCGAGCTGTACGTGCGATTGTCGCTGCCGCAGAGGAACGTAGGCTTCACCACGGGACATTCCTGGCACCTGCAACACAGGAAAAACATGGACGGGCGATTTAAACACAGCGTGCCTGGCTCTGTCGGCACTCGCGTACCTAAACCAGTTCAGTAAGTGAGACAAAGGACGGTCTCTGTCGAGTGCTCGTGCGAGGGAATATCGAAATTCGATGCTCTCGGTACAACAGTGTCGCTTGTGAATTTTGTTAAACGACGTGTCACTGGATATCGAGGATGACGACGACGGCAACGACGACGGTAACGACGCCGGTGGCGGCGACGATAACTCGCGTCTCGCTATAAAGCTCATAAAATTTCTCGTGAAAATTTATGAACCTCGTGGGAGACGGTCGCGCGATGCAAATGGCCCGGCACCATAAGTGCCTGAGCTTTGCAGAGACACGCTCGTCAGGAATCGAATTCGCGCTCGTGACGATTCACCGCGCAATTCAAGTGGCCCCCTCAAGAATCGCGGATTGTCTCGCGAACTCAGTGGAAGCTCTCGCAGACGCGATATCGAGCGAAGCGCGGCATCCCTAGGCGGGATGATGAAAGTCTGCTATCGGGGCAGAACGACCCGCTGGACGTGATAGAGATCAAAGGCGTCGATCTTCGCGGACGAGTGCAAATCGGCAGGACGGCGCGAGCTCTTGGGGATTCGCGGCAGGCTGGAAAAGTCTCAGCAGCGCTCGCCTCGCCTGCCCTGCGCTCCACGCGGGGCTGAATAATGAAAAGCCAAGGATGTGCCGGGGAGTCAATTACAGATATGGCCGGGTTTAATCTCCAGAATTGCTTGCCTGCCGTCTAAGCGCGCCATTGTACGTATTATTCCACTTCCAACGTGCTCTCTCTCCCCATTCCCCTTCTCTCTCTCTCTCTCTCTCTCTCTCTCTGACTCTCTCTCTGTTTGACTCTCTCTTACTTCGACCGGCGTTTCACGGCCGCGTGCGCCCGCCTCGCCTTTTGTGCCCCGCTAATTCCGATACCGGCGAGAGAATTTCCACCCCCGCCGCGGCGGCACCCCCTCACGACGCAGCCGAGTCGGAAATCCCGCTACCGGTGTGCGGTAATCCTCCCGAATTTCACAGCCAAGAGAAATAAGATGCTCTTCATTTCGGGAACATTCGGGGGCCGCGCAGGGGATAAGAATGCACGACGACGTAAGGGGTGTGCCATTCCAGCCGATCGTTCCAAGGGATTATTCGCGATCCGCGCCAATGTCAGCTGCGCTCACTACTGGCTTCAGATCCGCGCCCTCGGGGACAGATCTCGGAAAGTGGCACGGGGGCAAATTCGAAGTGATCACGTTCTCATGAAAGGAGCTCACTTTGGAGCTGTTCGGGACAACTCGTCGATATAGTTGTCGGGGACAGAATATCGTGCGCCCCGGTTGAATCCGATACAAATCAACGAGAGCCCATCCATCCCCTCTAGCCATACGTTTCCGCGCGGACACCGCGTGATTTCGAGTAAAAAGCTACCCTTTTTGCAGCTTACGCACTAGATGAAAGTTTTTCGAGCGAACGAGCCAGCACTCACGGCGATAAGTCGTGGCAGAGCGCGCGCAACGGGTAACGTACGCGCAATACGGCGGGGGAGGATAAACCGGGAAGCCGCAGAGACAACCGAGATACGAGCTAACGTAGACGGTGGGTCCGCTTCGCCTTGATAAAGGAGTTAAACCGGCTTAATTACCGCGTTACTCGGTTTAAACTAATTACGCGTTTGCGCGCGGCCGCAAATTCTCGAAGCAGAACGTAGAGACGCCATTGTGGTTGAATACACCTTGCCGGCGGAGTCTTCCCCTTCAGGAAGAAAGGCTGGCTGATTGGCTGGCTGGCTGGCTGGCTGGCTAGCTGGCTGGCTGGCTAGCTGGCTGACCCGGCGTTAACACCGTGCCGATGTTAATCGTCCGATAATTCAATGAACAATTCTCGACGTGCTGTCGCGGCCGCGGCGATTGTTAGACCCGGTTGGGTCTCGCGGAAACGGAAATTCGCCTCGTGTACAATTAATTGTTAGCTGCGCTTCCCTCTCTCTCCCCATCCCACCCAGCACAGTACGTGCTCGGCGCATTGGTGCGCGCGATATGGTGATCGCAGCGGCGCGAAGCACAGTGTGTTTAAATATCATATTTTACGAACGTATTGCGAGATCACACGCTCGCTCGCTCGCTCGCACACTGCTCGGCCAAATGAGCAGAAGCGAGAAGATTTGCGACGTGATGAGAGCAAATTTACCGTCAATCTTGCGGGACTTAGCGTATGCGAAAGGTTTCGCTGCCTTGTTGATAAGTTTTCTGTCATATCAGCGTGGATGATCACTGTAGAAACGCGAAATTTCGCTAAAGTACCTGATATATTGGGTAAGTTGCAAAAGTTCGTGATGGTCGGTGAATGGATTGCCTCAAAAGATGAATGATTTTATCACGGGGTCAAACTATCGCCCAAAAGATGGCAAAAGATTATTGATAACAGCGATCTTTACTTATAATACTTTCATTAAAATATTATATCTCATTGTTATTAATAAGCTTTAATATCATACGGACTTTTGCAAGCATCTAATACCTCTTTATCGCGTCTCTGTATACATCGATAAAACAGTGAGGTAATCATAAGTAGTAGTAGGTAATCGCTAGTTGTATAGAATTGATATACTGAAAAAAGATTTAGTAATAATCATCAAGGCTGGACAATGTCAATTGCCAATATCAACGAACAATGTTATCCAAGTTTGATGGCTATCACCAAACCATTTTTTCAGTACATTAACTCGATAGCTGAATAAAAGACGTGAGCTGAGTCTACGTCGAGATCACGACGATTGGATCACGCGCTAATTACTGAATAAATTTGAGATAAAATTCGTCTTACATTGTCGCGAGAAGACTCGCTTCTCGGTCGGCTCGTCGATCGCGATTTAATTCGGCGATTCGATGGCCTCTTTTCCTGCCTCGCATTTTCCTCCCTCGCGGGTCTTTCCGCAGCGGAACACTCAGGCGAGGGGGACAAATCGTGTAACTGGAGAAGTGAGAAGGCGTAGTAGAGGTAGTAATGCACATGCCAATCCGCCTTTAATCCTCCCCGGCTCTCTGTATCGGGGACTAGCCGGCCGAGCGAAGCCTGTGAGAAGCTCGGAACTTTCGTCAGGTGGCACTTGAACTTTATCGTGTCTACTTTGGATGTCCAGGATAAACCATTACCCTCTCTCGACGATACTTTCGCAAACCTAAATCCAGGCAGTTAAAATAAGATCGCGAGGCTGCCGAGCGGAGAACGTAAAAAAGTTCCTTTGAAAAGAGACGGACGTATCCGGCGGGATTCTGAAGGGAGAGGAGGAGGCTCGACAAACAAAAATGGATACCGCGCCATAAAATGGATATAATATCGCGCCATTTGTACGACGAAGGTTGCACAACGCACGCGGGGGGAGCACGCGCTGTTTCACAAAGTCTAATTAAAAATCCGCCGTGCAATATTAACATTGCAAGACAGCATTTTTAATTAATCGGTCGACGATATCTCGCAGTATATATATACCTACATATATAACATCCACCGTCGAGACTAAAGGTAGAATATGTAGAAATAGAGATGCAGTTCGCGGCGAGATATAATTAACCGACGCCGATTATACCGATATTAATTGGATCGTGGGTTTTAAATCTATGGACTAAACGCACGGATTATTCGCCGATATTAAATCACCCCGCATGCGCGGAGATTAACCCTTTGTCTCGCGAGGGCGTAAGTCACGGATCGCGGCGTTACAACGATAACGGCGACGCGAATCTCTCTCTGTCTCTCTCGTCCTTTTTCCCCCTCTCTTCCTCTCACGGGTCAAGAGAATCCCACGGGGGTAAATAAAACTCCCTTATCCGTCGTATCTAAAAATGTATTCGTCGTTGATAGCGCGCGTTCTCCCTCTCTTCTTCCCTCTCACGCTTCCTCGCTGTCGTCACCCTATTGTCGTCGTTTGTGATGTTTCCTCGCTCTCCTTCTCCTCCTCCTCCTCCTCCTCTCTCTCTCTCTCTTTCCGCTTCTCCTTCCTGCGTGATTTGCCCGACGATATTGAACAGAGGAAACAACTCCCGGATCGCGCAATGATGCGTAAACGACGACGCACAGGGATACAGTCGCGACGTTATGCGCGCAGAACGAACGAACGAACGAACGAACGAACGAACGATGCCCCGGCATCTTCGATCTCGGTTCCGCTCGCTTCGCGTTTTCGCCCCGCGCCGCCGCACCCGCGCGCTTATATACGCCCTCGAACTTTTGATTTACGCGGCCTCGATGGAATTCCATGAATGCGAAATGTAATCCTCTACACCCTCACCCCTTCCCGGCCAGTTACCTCGGGCCATATCACCACCCCTCATCCAATGTGAAACTTTGCGTTTCAATCGTGCCCCTCGAAGTAACAAACGGCGGCAGCTGCCTACGGGAAATATATTTTCAGCGAAAGGGTGGGCGATTTATTTACAGAGGCGAAGCGCGCGACCGGACGCGTGGGCGAGTGCCGGAGAAATCAGGATCTACGAGAAAAAAAGGGACACATAGACAGAAGGAGGGAGAGAGAGAGAGAGAGAGAGAGAGAGAGAGGGGGGAGTAGGAGGAGGAAGGAGGAGAAAAGTCCTCGAGCTCGCGGAAAATCCGTGGGAATTAATGCAAAACGAAAGAACTGTTTATTACGAGTCGGGACGCGCGCACTAACGGTCTTCCGCGAACGCTCGTGATATTTCACGGTACATAATTCGCAAAACCTGTCGCGTCAGCATTGCTCGCGCGCGCGAAACGCCAAGAATAACGTAATCCTGCGAGCCATACCGATGACAAAACGATATTAATGGAATGGCCCGTAGCGCTGGAGAGAAATGCTTTATAGCCTATTCCCCTCTCGCCCAGCCGTAAAACTTACAATCTTCGTAGCTGCACGGACGCGCGTAGATTCTTATCTCGGCTCTCTCGTGTCCGCGAGATATCCATTAATAACGTTCTTTCGGACGTTACTCATTAGAGCCTC